TTCAAGCCCTTATTATGGAAACATAGCATTATCGTAATGCATGCTGTACATTAACCGACTAGCAGCCAGTTCATTGTTCCACTGTAGACAGCCATTACAAAAATAATATAATGAAGTACAGTCACGTTCACATATCAACGTGTGGAAAAAGGCAAAGGATGGATTAAAAAAGAGAGAGAGAGAAACGGACAAAGGGAGAAAGATTCCTAGTGATGTTTTGAAGTAACATTTTACGACGGTAGTTGTGCACTCTTTATAGGGCCTAAATATAGAATTTTAAATATAATACGCTTAATTTGTGACAGACGTCCACTGCATAGTCTAAGCTACTGATAGCCTCTGTAAGCAAATTACAAATTTGATTTGTAGCAGTTAGCAGGCTGATAAGATTCACAGACTTCACAAATTATTCCCAGAAATTCATTTATTCTGCGCTGGTTTTGCTACTGAGATTCTGAGGTAGCACCGCGATTTAATTATCCTGGTCTGAGCTGAGCGTGATATATCAAGGCCCAGCTCTGGCGGAAGAATATAGCACTGCTGCTACGTCTTAATTTTAATTCCATAGTCGAAGTATACAATCGCAAACTTTTGGTGGCCAGAGTGCACACCACTATGTCTAGACGTGTTACCTTAGCGCAGATGATTAATCGGTAAATGAGAGGAACTGGCAACGGGCGTCATAAATACGTGACTGTCAGCCAATGCTGTTTGGAGGCGGACAGTGATGAGAGTTAATGCGGATCATAAAACCGCGGGGTTGTTGTAGTGTCAGTATACTCTTAAACGTGGGGGTAAATAAACTGTGTTCGACGAATGAGTAGTGAGCATCACGGTTCTACAAATGTTTACAACCCTTTGAGTGAGTGAATGTCTGTTCTAGGAGAAAGCCTTGCGGAACTTCATCACGGCAGCCGGTGTCCGGTAGTACCGCGCTCCGAGGGCATTCTGTTGCTCATATGTCTCCTGGTAGCAGTCTTCAGATGAGCTCGCCTCAGCAACACAACGTCATCATATCACCCGTAGTGCCTCTCGCAGAGCCCAAACACCAGACGGCGTAATGGTGCCTACTCGAATTAGTTGATGTTGTGTTTTAAGTGGCATCAACATTTTTATTATTACTATTATTCTTACGTCTCGTCGTTGTGTTACATGGGGACGAGTGTTACGGGCAACAACGGTGGTAACAACAGTGTTTATTTTAACGGGCAACGCCTATATCCAGCCAAACAAGTCATTATCTTAATATTTTACAACACTTTCCAGATAACCGGAGCATTTAGAACTGACCAAATAATGCACAATCTGTCGTGATGTGTATAATTACGAACTCAAGGCAATTTTCCTCGGTTTCTTATGAGAGTAGAAGTTTTGTTATCTTGTTCAAAAAGTTTCAGTTGTCCTCAACCGGTTGAATTCAGATCATGAAAGATACACTTTAACAACACCTTTCCATTTACACATTACATTTCAAATCGTCCCTTCCATTCACGTAATGTATTAAACGTTAACTCCGTAAGAACTAAATAATTTATTTTTGAAATTTTCATGAAAGTGAGGATATCGATTATATACTTTATTGCAGTAACGTCGTTTGAACTTGTGGGTATATTAAAGTTCCGGAGGAACATGCTGACTTTATCTTGAGGGCTACAGCAGTATGTTCCTCTGAAATGTTGGTATGTATCTACAAGCCAACACGGTGTTTTTACCAGGCAGACCGACACTGATAAACAAAAATTTCTTCTTCTTTTAACTAATTTCTTCACTGACAGCTTCTTATAAATAAAACTGATCACCCTCAAAGATTTCAATTTCTTTCAATCTGAAAGTCTCTGATAACGTCTGCAAGGTTTAAACTGATGAAGCCTCGAAAGTGTTCGTTAAATGTAACTACAGTTTTCACAGCCACAAATTCTTCGCCTTTAGTTGAATCCAATGCTCATTACAATGTTCAGGTAAGTCCCCCACTGGACTCTATTCTGGGTCAACCGAATCTGGTCCACATCTAAGCATCCTCTCTCTAATCTAATTTAATAGTCTCATTACTCGAAAGCCCAGATCCCCATGTTTCCGTTGAGGTGTCAGGATAAACAAATTTCTATGTATCTTATTATCTCCCGACATAAGTAGACATGTACAATTTATGTATAACGTTGAACATAACATATTTTTTTAAGTTTTTGTTTCATCTTTACGGAAGTGACACGTCTTTGTTTCATACATTTTATGAGGTATGTATGAAAATAATCAAGATAATTGAAATGTTTTAAATGTAACAGTTGGAATTTGGAGCAATATTATTAGCAGTTTTTGCTTGTTACTATTAGGTGCCTGCCTGCCAGCGTACTTACACGGCAAGAGACAACATGGCACTGAGGTTAACAACAGCACGAATTATAACCTCTTACAATTCTTCTCATATTGATACACGGAAGACAACCGCTAAGATATTTACATGTTATTTTATTGCGATATTGTGTTCAGTAAGCCATATACTCCCTAATAATGGGAGAAGTTGTGCGGATTTTTATATGGAAATACAATAAAATAACCATCGATTCAACGTTTGAACTGAAAGTGTGCGTTTTCGGAAAGGCAGACTGCGAATAGTAGAAAAAGGAGATATGCAGAATGAGTATGTACTCGGATGATGGTGTTTGCTTATTCCCCGGGTCCCGAAAACCCTCGAGAAGTGGGAATACAGACTGCTACAAGAGCCCTATTCAGAACTTCGGTTGTGAATAAATAGTTTTGAATTTAAGAGAAAACACTACAGTTCTATCAGCTGTGCAAATAAATACATGAGCTATGCTTCCATATAACTCTCATCTCCTTACTTCAGAAAGTTGTATGGGTAGAGTATAAATTATATTAGAAGTTGAGGGAGTGTATGTATGGCTTTAAAAATATTTAGTAACAAAATTAAAGGAAAACAGTGTATGCCATATTTAAACTTCTGCGATATTAACCAATAATATTTCTACGATTTGTGCAAATACCTTTTAATTATCAATAATTCGTGACATAAATATTCTTCTACTCGACAAAACTGATGTACCTTGAACAAAATGTTTTAAAAGAAACAGTAGTACACTTTAATTTTAATTATAATTTTATATGTTAAAAACGTTAAACATGTGTAACACTGGTGGCCTGTTTACAACATGGCTTTCAGTAGTAACAAAACCTGCTGTAACATATTATTGTGGAATCAGTCCCGTTTCGACATTAGTAATTGTTTTCAAATTTGTAAGATTTCTAATTATCTTGCTATGACGCCAAGACACCGAGTCTTATACAGCAGGTAGGCGGGAGAGATGTCATGTTTCTTTCTGAATGGCAAGTGTTCATGTAATATACACAGGACTTACTTGATTAATTGTTCGGACTTAGATTTCTAAAACAGCTTCAGGCCGGGATATATTGATTAGTCTATGAGCTGTCCACTAGGTCGCCGTTTATATTTTCTATTACCAGTAAGGACCCGGGATATTTATATTCCCTTTAATGCCCAAACTATCTCTGGTACTCACCCGGTCTCCAATTGTATGTCTACCAGGAATAAAGCGACCAGTGATTAAAACTGCAAATAGAACAACGCTAATAACATAAAGCCATACTTTCACTCCCCGATACGTTTCCACTGCCTATAAATACACAGAAAGCTTGGATCAACCGAGGTGCTATCCAAAAGTTCACGGAATTTGCCCATAAAAAGAAAATTGGTTATCATAACTCTTAGTTTCCATCGTCTCCTTCGAAGTAGTCCCCTTGGGCATGGATACAGCTATCCCAGCGTCTTTTCCATGATTCCATGAATCCGTGGAAGTCTTCAAGTGAGAGTGTTTTAAGCAACTCCTGCGATTCTGCCTGGATCTCATCAATTGTGTCAAAACGACGGCCATTCAATCGAAATTTCATTTTGGGGAACAGGAAAAAGTCGCAGGGGGCGAGGTCAGGCGAATAGGGTGGGTGGGGAATCGCTGTCGTGTTTTTGGAAGCCAAAAACTGCCGAAAAATGAGCGATGTGTGGGCGGGCGCGTTGTCGTGGTGGAGAACCCAGCTGTTGTTCTCCCACTTTTCCGGACGTTTGCGCCTAATGCCCTTTCGTAGCAGCTTCAAAACTTCACAATAAAACTTCCCGTTGACAGTTTGACCACGGGGGAAAAATTCCTTGTGGACAATGCTTTGGATGTCAAAAGAAATATCAACATGGACTTCACATTGCTGCGAACTTGACGTGACGTTCGCCCATCCTTAAAGCGTTTGTACCACAAAAAAGTTTTACTTTCACTAATAAAATTCTCACCAAATACTTCCACAAGCATTCGGTGGGTTTCTACAGCAGTTTTTTTAAGCTTAAAACAAAATTTTATGCAGATTCTTTGCTCCTTAAAATCTACCATTTAAAAAATCACCGAACCACTACAACACAACGTTACAAAACGCACGAGACCCAAGAACGCGACTTTTCGCCTTCACGGTTGTTGGTACACTAATTCTCAAAGGATACTGCTCGCCCCATCTAGCGGCGGCAGACCATTCCACAACCGGTTCGAGCGTGGAATTCAAATTCCCTGAACTTTTGGGTAGCAACTCGTGTTTGGATCCATATTCACATCTTTCAGATTCGCAAAATAATTTCGTATTCACTAAGATCAACAAGCGATGCGCGAAATCACATCGCCTGTAGATTCACACCAAAGCAACTAAATTTATGGTCCGTTCAACTCTCTGTGAATTAAATAAACATTGCATTCCACATATTCTATATATTTCACACACTTAATAATTCTTCAGTAACGCTGCACACAAAGTTCCCATTTGATGATGCGATAAGCCACTGCAAACAACCGTTCTCTACTTGGATAGACGATGTGTATCGCTCAGTGCTATAAGAGAAAAGTTGCTTCCCACTTTTATCGCATTTTCCTTGTTTGTAGTTGCTTTGGTGTGAATGCATCATAAATCATCATAAGCTGAGTTTATGGACCCAGAATACTGACTGAGTCTTGGTTTATGTAATCATAGCTCTGAGTGATATGCGAGCACTGATGGTTACACGCTCTGTTAAAACATATTCAAATTCATAAAGTTCACGTCCAGGAATTATGTCCGCATGGAAGTAAATTTTAATCAAAGACACATAATTGTTCATAAATATTTTACCTAATGGACACTTGCCAGTAAGTCACGAAGTCTATCTTTAACATATTTAAAATGAAACACAGGCCTTAGGATATGCAAGTGATTATGTTTTATTCAACAAATTTTCTCTTTTTTAAATTGCATTCAGTGCTGGAACAACACCCCATTTTTGCTCATGACGCGAAACTTGTAAATCAGCCTCGAAATGAAATCATCGATCAAGGAGGTTTGCACAGTTACTGTATTTACAATTTACAAACAGAGAACTGATTCATTAGGCCTATAACTGTCTTCCTTATTACTGCAAGCTACTAGAGAGATTTAGTAAGATTGGACATTGGTCAAAGCTATCCTAAATAACTGCTGTAGCTACTATTGTTAGAATGAAATAAGGCAAGAAAAACAATTTTGGACTTTAATCCAAGTCTGTGTGGTGGCTAAGACGACCAAGAAAGCCAAAACACATACAGTGGTAGGAAAACACACACAGTGCATTAAATACACAATACATGGAGATAATGGTATGATGCTAGATTCTAGCAAGTTTATTTTACCTTCAAATGAAACATCTTATATCTGAATTTACTGTTGTATTAATGTCTATTGGTCGTCAACACACGGACCGTAGTTCTGGTACATAATCTTCACAATGAATCACGTTGTTATATGAAAGCAGTTCATCAGAACTTAAAAAAACCCACTGTATTTTACACATTTTTTATTTTTTTATTCTAAATCGTTTATATTTCGTCCTTAATGTCTTCAAATTGTTTCGAAAATTGTAGTTACTAACTACTTGATGATATTTTAATGAACGTTTTTAACCTGAAGATAACGTATATTGTGACCAATAATATGAACGAAATTTTATAGGTATACTCTTTGGACTACACTACGTTTCCAAAGGAATTTCCCACAACACGTCAAGGACAGTGACATTATCAGGTTGTTTCTTTTATAAAGACGACTCAAAAGAACTTTGGAGTTACATGGCTCGTGTTATAAAGTAATAAAAATTCAACAATCTTCTAATAGTGACCTTTTACACTAGCAATAATGTGTTCTAAGAATGGCGTTGTGTCATGCGGATAACTTATATTCTAGGAGAAACGCGGCCGGCAAAGACGTAGACTAGCATGGACGGGACCATAATGTATTCTGCTCTCACGCCGGATCATTAAGAACACACAAAATGTTAGTATTTCGGGAAAAAAATTATATTTGAAGACAGACATCCAAAATTCGACATTCTACACATAATCCGCATACTGAGTGACCAAAGCATTGTAATTAGATTTGTGGTTCTAATGGCGGTAAAGATGAGGATTTTGGATTTTGGTCTTCAAGATTTTAACAGTATGTGGTATTATAGGTATATACAACTTTGAAGAGGAGCATACTGCCTTCATCAGGACCTTCAGCTTAAGCAAATTCAAAGTTTTTTTTTAAAATGTCACTGCGGCAAATAGAACACAAGAGAGCGTTTTTTAAATAATGCTAATTTTAATTGCGAATTTAATTACAGAAAAAAGTGCTATTAAATTTAAATTCAATGCTGATAGTCATCAGAATATTCCATTTGAATTTTTTTAAGACACAACGAAGGCAGCGAGGTATACGAATGCATAAACTAGCTATGCAAAACAATTATAATTTTACTTCTAATTCCAGAAAGGAATTGTAACTCAAAAGTTTTATAAAATAAGGGAGGCTAAATGCACATTCTCTGAGAGGCACGTATCCATGATATTAAAATGAACGTGTAAAATAAATAAAAATACAGGCGTATCACTTCTAACTTTCGAATTTTATTCAGACGCAGTGAATGCCGAACATCCTATGCATTCTGAGAACATCGAGATATTGATATTACTTAACTTTCTTTTTTACAGATAATTAAAAAATAATTTTATTTTATTACTAAAATAATCTACAGAATATGCGTGTATTCCCGAAAATATATTTGTCTTTCTCCGTGCTTCTTATTTTGTTCTGAGCAGGATACGAACCAAACATATCATAGTTAAACCGAAGCTAATGTAATATAATATGTCTATGAAACACAAGTGAGATACGTGAAACACCTAGAACAATTATAATAGCAAATGTTTGTCAAAAATTTACATTCTTCGATCATGTTTTAATGCGAACGTAACTAAGTAGGATTAAAAATATGAACTCGATTTTTAAGATTCATGTAATATTTCAGGGAATACAGCCCTGTTTGACTTTATTGAAAGTTGCATACATGCATATGTAAGTTATACTCGGTTACAACAGGAGGCTGAATAATTCAATATGGGTGGATTACCGAGGCATGTGAAGTCAAGTGAAGTCTCTAATAATCTGTATGCAAAATAAACTTGCCTCTTAGCATGAGCGCACCAGAAATGTTTATACACTGAATGAGAAGCCATTAAATACACAGCTGTGCTCTTAAATATATTCCAACACATACTCAATTTGCCAAAAAAAGCAGGTTTGAGTTGTAAGTGGAATTTTTTAATTTAAATTCCTTGTATCTGATGTAGGGAACGAGGTCATCTTTATGCAAATTTAAAACCATATATATGCTGCATTATTAATGGTTTATTAAAGGGCTGGTAAGTGTCTTCTGAAATCTAAGCGAGATTGTAGTTAAATGAGCTCCTCTTTAAGCAGCTTGAAGATATTTATATCCGAACGTAATTATTAAATACTGACATTAATTCAGATTCTTTAAATATATCCAGAATATACGAGATAATGTAATTAAACAACATATCCAAGTTGAAAATCCTTCTTGGGAAACTAATAGTCGTTCAGATAGTAAATAATTTAAACAGTTTATGGAACCAGTCTTCAAATGAATTCGGAAATGGACACTACTCTAAGCTAGTTCAGTTCAATTTAGATCTCCATAAACTACTTTCGTAATACCCATCTACGGTAGGTCTCCCTGGTAGTTTTGAATATTCCAGTATTCAGTTGTGCATTTCTTATCTCGTGAATATTTAGTTTTCGGAGCCACAGCAAACTAACATGTAACATTTTTCTAAAGATGTGAATCATTTATCCACGTTGTTCTGAATTTCAGTTATTGTTTTTCTTCATGCTTGTATAAAATTGTGGAAGTTTCTGAATAAGACACTTCCAGTACTCAGAATGGGGCGTGAGAATGTGACGGTTTTCCGTAGGCACCACTATGCCACTCTGAGCATTCGCCCGCTCCACTCTGTACAAACTACAACAGAGGTCGCACACGGCAGTTCGACGGAAATTACTGCGAAGACTTTTCGTTTAAGCTGTCAATCGTCTTGACTGCGAAATACTAAGTGAAATATTAGGACGCATGACAACAATTTGCATCGCGCCTAACATCTGTGACAAAGCAGAAACAAGGGACATTACACAAACTAAATGTTGTATTTGAAGTTGATTTTTATATAAGAAAAGGCAACATAATAATTGTAATTGAAAATTATTACCATAAAACGTATATTGTACGATTACAACTATATATCATGTGATAAAATAAAATGTAATCCTGTTTTCATTCATACAATATATATTGCTTAGATGTGTTTATTTTTAAAATCATATTTATTACAGCGAAATTCTCCAGCATTCAACTCAATACTGAGTGGTGAGTAGCAACAATATATATATATATATAATATTAAAATTCTTATTTAAGAATGAAAATGTTCATAGCTAGTTTTAATTAAAAGAGTGAAAATGGAATTGTGACCTTGTGTCAATTCAAGGCACATCAACAAAAAACAGTTTTCATAAAAACCACATCAGATTGTTTTACTAGTTACCTTCCAAGTTGACACGTTCAGCGATACATCCCAAAGAAAAGTAATTCTTCAAACCAGATATGCTCAATGAACAAAGTTTCATATTCATCTCCCTCTACGGTTCGACATTTTACTGGCAGTTTGTCCTCGAAGTTAAATATATTTACTTCCTAGATACGTGAAACTTCGTAAACTGATGACAGACTTGCAAACTATATTCATTTATAAAATGTAGATGAGAAAGTTATTTAGGATCTGAGGTTTTCACGGCAGTGAGTATGAGAAATGCTGTCTGCTGGGATGCTAAAGCGTGTAGTCTGGTAGATGTTTACCAACGTTTCAGAGTTTCTTGCTGCCTCTATCATGAGGGCGAAGAACAAGCCTTACGCAACGAACCAACCAAAAAGCAAATTAAGGGTGGATATCTCCGCAACGGCAAGACATCGTCCCTTGCTACGTAACACCAATTGTGCGTGCGAAACGCACTGCTGGAACTGTTATAATTGAAACGGGAATTTGCTTGCGTTAACAGGAGCTTTGTCGTGGAGGAAGCCTCGACTATTCACATTAGGCTAAGTTGCTCCTAATAACAGGCTATCCCGTCAGACAACTTCTGCTTCGTGCAAAGGATTTTAGGTGGTTGGTATTCTGGGATTTTAACCCAGAGGGGGTGGAATTGCTTCGGCAGAAGGCCTCCGGGGTTGAGATTGGCAAGGTAGGATGAGATGATTTTCACCAGGTAGAACGAGCAGTTGAGTTCGGTTAGATTGTAGAGCAATCCATACAGTATCGAAAGCTTTGACCACATTTAAGAAAACCGCGCCGGTTAGCCGCTTCTCGTCAAAATTCCTGTTAACCGTTCTAATAAGACAGACCAGCTACAGTGTTGCGCTACGTCGGCACCGAAACCCAAAGTGATCATCGCGCAGCAGCCCAGTTCGTTTACCTTGCGTAGGACCCTAGTTGGAAGGATTTTGTTGCAGAACTTGCCGATCGTATCAAGAACACTGATGGGTCTGTAGGAAGATGGTAGCATGGGGTTCATCTACGACTCGAGTATGGACACCACAACAGCGTGATTTCATGCCGAGGTGAACTACTGCCTGCAAAGGACCGCGTGAAACTGATTCGTGAGAAAAGTTTTCGTGCGCCTTGCCACATTTCTCAGGACACTGTTAGGAATACCGTTGGGGATAGAAGCCTTACCAAACTTGCGTCCCTTGATGGCCAGAAGGAACTCCGAGGGACTGGTAAATTTCGGTTCAGTTGAGGGTGCATATTTGTATGATCATATCGCCTAGTTAACCAAGTCAATAACAGCCGCGTTTGATGGGTGGCCCACCGGTTGAAACTATACCTCAAGATTGTCGGCCAGGGCTTCCGATTTCTCAGATTCCGAGAGAGCCAGTCCTCCCGGCACATGCAAGGGGGCGACGGAGTAGTTAATCTCATCACCCGCTTAGTCATCTTCCATTGTAACTTATCATAGTTGTCAAACGATTCCAGCGAATCGCTGCACTGTTCGTTCCTCCACTCGTTGAGCTGATAGATCACCGACGTCTAGGGGCAGTTGACCTGAGCTTTCAAAGCGAGTTTCCTCGTGACCTGACACTCCCTCCTCAGACGGTTCATGAGGTATAGTTCATCCTGAATACTAGCGGGTAGAGAGAGCCCCATGTCTACGCGAGGTCGACGCTTGGGAGCAGATGCAGCTGTGGCCTCATGGATGGCGCTCATCAGCTTCTCGACGTACGCGTCGATTGCATCCTCGTAGATTATCACGGGATTTCCCAGAGGTCTGCTTTCGAGGCAAGCCTGGAATGCACTCCAGTCCATTCCCGTGAATTGGGAGCGATCAGGTAGGTACTAAAAGGATGATCGGCACGTGGTTTCGATGAGGACGGGCAGGGTATATGAGCTGAGTGCCGGGCAGAGAGTCAGATACGCCGGTTAGACGAAGTCCTTGACGACTGTCATGTGAAGGACGTCAGTGGTTCCGTTATGTTTGTAAGGAGCCGTTGTTGGGGAGTCCAGCCCGTAGATCATGCAATAGTTTCTGTTAGCTTTATCCCGCAGGAGCGAACCCATCGTAAGGATCAGCCTAGAATTACAGTCCGTGTACATTGCGTTGAGGTCACCAGCCACCAGTACTGGGATCCACCCCGTTCAGGTACTCAGTCAGGTCCAACTCGGTACACGGTCGCGTGAGCGGAGAATATGCTGCCACGAGGTTCACTATCTTGGTCGCCATAAGAAGATGAATGGCAGTGGTCTCCAGGTGCTGCAGACCCGAGACTGGCACAGCATAATGATATATGCATCTGTGGACTTGGATCGTTGTGCCTTCCAACGTCGATGACAAATAGTTCGCGAAACATAGGACTCGACCCGATGTGAGGTGCGTCTCGTTCAGGAGGGAAACATCTACATCGTGTTGAAGGAGAATCTGTTACAATTCCAGCTTCCTGCCACGAACACCAGCGGTATTTCACAAAGTTAGCCGCAAGGCAGCCCGGTCGTACTCGGCTACGAAGAGGATCACGGCTTTGAGGAGGGCTCGCGGACGAGCAACCGCTGTTCGAAGGGAAGAGGCCGCGGAGAGAAGACGACGTGTCAACTCGAAACAGGGCTTGATGCTAAGATTCTCCAGGATATCCGCTATCCCCTGGGGCGGGGACTGACCCTTTGAGGGTGTAGAGCCGATCTTTTGAAGGAAGAGTTACGGAGTCCGCCACCGGCTCTTCAGGACGTGCGGACTTAATCTTGCCGCTGACAGGTATAACGTCCCGCTGGACCATTAACTTTTGCCGGAAAAGGAGGGTGGCTTTCTCCACAGCCTCAGCCTTTACGACGCGGCCACCTAAAACTATTTCGTTCCAGCTAGGGCCCAAGTTTTCCTGCTCGGATGAAAACTTAGCTGCTCCGATCAAGGCGCTGACAGCCGCGTGCGCACGCCGTCCTTTCGGCCGCGCTCCACTTGCGCACGCTTGGCAGTGGCAGCCATCGCTTTCTTCCACTGACTGCAACTTCAGTAGCTGGCAGTGTGGTTGTACCCGCAGCTGCAGCAGTTAGACTGCTGCTTGGGGTGACACGCCCCAGATGGGTGCGCGTCCACGCAGGTCACATACTTGGGTGCATAGCCGCAGTTCCGATGTGTGTGCAAGAAGCGTTGGCAGCGCTTGCACTACGTGTGCTCCTTCGGTGAACTGTACGACTCCACCTTCACCCTCAGGCCCCAGAGTTCGGTGAGAGCGCTCACCTTCACCATGGAGAGGCCCCGCGCCACTGACAGTATGAAGTGCGGTGTGAGACGGTCTTTATCAGAATTTTGGTCCCGTCGCCTCGATCGGAGTTGCATGATCCCCTGGTAATCCGCTTCAGGCATGCTCTTGCCTAAGTTTTTCAACAATAGGCGCACGCATCAATCCTCAATCTGTATATGTCGACATACCTACATTTTCCCGCCATGACGAGCTAGAGCAGTAAGAGGATGCTACGGCTGTCGTAGCAACATCCCGTAGTCCAACGCTTCTCTTTGGTTATCTGGAGGCCTACCTCAGTAGACTTCAGCTCTAGCTCAGGACCTGGAGGATTGCTATCAACGTCTCGAAAAGCACCGCGGTTTTCTTCGTTAAGTCCTCGAGTCTCATCAAGAAGCCCACAGCAGTGCAGTTTCTTGGACAAAAATACTAAAGAAAATAAAGTCCATACCCTATTATGAAGGAGTATTGAGGCATTTCACGGTACTAAAGAGGTTAGAGAAAACAACTGTAGAGAATAGCAGATTTAAGAACTGTTAGATCTGGAGAAATAAAAATCTTATATTTTATGTCAACTCCTACTGTTCTGAAGGACAATTCCAGTCATATACGCTATGTGTCTAAAAAAAACTAAATATGAATCACAGTCCTTCATGACATGCCCATTATATGTCTCTCCATTATTCCTATACTACAAATACATTTCATCTCCATACACTTTGTGACATCTAAGCTTCTCACGGCGGTGAATATGTCGATGTTGGTCTTCTGTGTAGTAACGCTGTGCTGACTCGTAGATGGATATGTTTTAAAGCCGTAGTGAATTGTTATACGACATAAATTTTCGGGGAAACATTGTGTCTCAACCTTGAGAAGTATATAACTCATGTAAGCAAGGCGTTACAATCCAGAAAAGAACACTGGCGTCTTATGACACTGTTACACGAAACAGCGTATACTAAAGCAGAACACGATATTTTATGGTATTTCGCCACCATCGTTAACTACACACGTGGACAATTTACAACTGTAATTTTCACTACCCGAATGAAAAACAAATTAAACAATTAATTATTCGCCTACCAAGAGAAAAATGTCAGCTCTGATTGGACATTTCAGCTAATTTTTCGTGATCCCATTGGTAATTTTAAGATGTAATGTTGACATTACTCCGGTACTAAATAATGCACGCTTGCAGCCGTCGATAAATGCCAATGCTCTTATGCCCCTTGTCCAAACTGTTGAAATAAACAACTCTCTATTATATAAAATTTACCATTAAATCCATCCTAAAACTATTATAATCCTATTTAAATCAAAACTTAACACATACCGATCTCTTTAAGTTTATTAATTATTAGGATCACAATCATACACATGTGGGTCTTTCCTTAGCCAATAATAATAATAAACCGTGGCGTAACAGCCCACTGAGAGCCAAAGCCGACTAGCTAGCTGCTGGCATCACGTTCACATGCCTAAGCAGAGGTGAA